TGGCCAAGCGTTCTGAGAGATGGACTAAATAAATCTGTTAATTAATAGCATACTATAACGTATGCTTAGAAAGTTAGTATATTTCTCAACTTGTGAGTATATAATATCAAGACAAAAGATGACAAAATGATAGCATTATGGAAATAGAGAAATCCTTAATCTGCTTGCAGAGTAAATATAAATCCTTTATGCATCTCTTGGTATTTAAAATAATTCTTTTCAACACCGTGACTTGTATTCAGATCTATTATTTTTTTCATATATTTTTATTACTTTTAACCATCTCACATATTTTCAAGCTTTTCTTTCAGTGTATTACTATGAAGGAGTTCATAGCAGGAAAAAAATATGTTGTAGAGAAACTTCGCCATGTGTTATTTACATGCCTATTATTCAAAAAGATGTCTTTAATTTTTTAAGTTATCACTGTAACAATGATGTTTACTTGAGGCCAGAGCTAACTTTTTTCATAGACTGTGCACAGTGCATGCACAGTGGCTTTCTGCTCTTACAGGTGCAATGTAAATACATTATCTAAGCACTATTTACCAGAGTTCCTTGTCGCAGACTGTTTTCTGTCGGTCATTAAAAGCACTTGATAATGGAATGCTATATCCTAATTCAATATGCTTTTCTAGCCACTTGAAAAGAGGTGAATTGTCAAGATATCACAGTAGTAATTTCTCAAGCAATTTACTGTGCTTCTTTCTGAAAATTTTCTGGTGTATCAGACAGTGTCAATTGTGCTAGCTGTATTTCCAGTTCCGTTGAACTTTAATTGATAAGGAAAAGGTTAATAGATACAATGATAAAATAAAGTTTTAACATTTTCAGTCTTGTGCAAGCCGTAATTGACATTTTCCAAAAAGGGATATTTCACATGTCATTTAAAATCTGTGGCCAAGCAGTTGCTTCCCGTGGCGTGCGCATTTGTCTTTCAAAAACAACAGCCCTCAAAAATCTCCACTTTGCATTTTTGAAAGGTTAATTTTGGAATTTCTTTTCCAAATTCTTTTGGAATTTCTTTTACTTTTGGAATTACAATAATAAGTATGCTTAGAAAAGAAGGTAGGTGCTACAATAAACCTGTCTGCTAAATACTAACCTTTTTTATATTTTCAGAAAAAAGCCAAAGGCCAGCTGCTGTTTGAACAGATCATGTATCATCTGGACCTTATAGAGAGCGACTACTTTGGATTAAGGTTCATGGATTCCGCACAAGTGGCGGTGAGTAACAGAGCTTTTTGACTGTCGGTAGAAAAAAGAGCAAAAACTTAATATTGACGTAAATCCTACGAGGAAACTGCCTTCCTTGAATTGTTTTGTGCAGCAGGTCTGTGGTATGTTAGTTTAATGAACCTTCCACTGCAAACACTCTCTAACATATTGCAACACTTTTGTCCCTTGCATTCATGTCTTTCACTTGTTCCTGTCAGACCTTCTGTTTGCTTGGCCCTTCATGCAATGACAGTGTGGAGAAGGTTGTCCTTTGCCAGTGCATAGTGCCATCAACGTTCTTGTTAGCAGAAATCCTCTCTCTCACGTTTTCTGGGGAAATGCGCCTAGCAAGAGGGGCGTACATCTAATTTGCTCAGATCTGTTGTGAATGAGACTAGAAATTGTTGGGAGGACATGTAGATGTATTTATACATATTGTGGTTTGAGTAGAGGGTTCTTGCAAGTGTAAGTTTGTTTGTAAAAATGTCTCTGCTTTTGAAAAGAAAGCAGTGAATTGTTTGTCGGAAGCAACCACAGTTCTTTTCATCTGCCCTTGTACAGCTTTATATGGATGCTCCTTATGGCTGAGTACTTAATCCTGCCCCCAAGGAAAACTACATGTTTTCTTCATGTTGTTTTTATTTTCTTCTTTTGTTTTGAAATATCATGTTGTATTTAGAAAGTCTTTGTATATATAAACAACTGTTGTTTTAAATGAGGAGTTGCACAGTGAGTAGTTTCTGACTCTGTCTTGCATCCCCGTAACTTAAACCCGTATTTGTTTATTGTAACGCTCCTAGGTAGAAATATGTCTGGGTTTTCATACTGTGTATGCCAAACTTACTTATGCTAGATGTATGACCCAACTGTCTGTGTTTCAAGTCCACTTAGAATTATTTCATGATTAGGATGGCAAAGTGGAAGCGAAGACAATTGCTGCTGAGCTAAATGCCTGAACTGTTCTAGATCAGCGTACAAAATGAAGGCAATCACATTTATTGTTTGACTTCTGTGAAGGTGTATGTCCAAATTGAAAACAAACAAGCAACAATGGTTAGCGTTTCTTGATTAGCAGGAGTAGCTGCTAGTGGACTGCAGTCTCCAAGTAGTAAAAATGTTCTTAAACCTCTTGCAGAAAAAGTACGGAAAGAGAAGGAAAAGACCTTTATACTAAACGAGAAATTAGTATAAGTGATTTCTCCTGTCAAGAGAAAGTAATAACAAGTAAAAAGAAGACATTTTGGCTAACCAGCAGTGTACTAGAAGGAAGAGAGCATCCTTCAGTGTCAGTGATTGTGTCCAAATGAAAAAACTAGAAAGGATTATAAACCTTGGCACATGGCATACAAAGCACAGCAAGGCTGCCCCAGCACAAGGCATTACAGCTAAAAAGGTTGCATACGGTGGAGGAGTATTCTGTTTTCATACTTTTCCTGTTGCGTCTGCTTTTGGCCACGGTCATATCTTTAGTCAAATGAGCTCACTGCCGCCAGTTTTATGTTTTCCTATTATGTTCTTTTATTTCTTCTTGCCTGCCTGCCTGCCTGTTGCTGGCTTTTCAGTAAAAGCACTTTGAGAGAGCGTAGAAGGCATAGTGATTGGGTATAGGCTGCCCTCAGTAGTACAACTGCGTGGGAGAATAAGGTAGGGTGCATGCAGCGAAGGTACAACCAAAGGACAACATGATTACTTACTCTAGAAATCTTAATAATGTGTTGTAAAAAATGATTGAAGTTCTTTTTACCATCCAGGGATTTTAAAGAAAACATATTTTCCTTATCTTTAACAGCAAGTTATTGCGTTGCCGTAGGTCATTTGTGTTTTTTTAATCAACCTACAACAGTCTATTGAATACCATTTTATATTTATTAAAAAAAAAAGTCTGCTAGGTTAAACGTGTACAAGCTAGGATGTTGAGTATCCGTAGTAAATGGCTCCCTTACTTTTATCTTCCCAATTTTTTCTTGGGGGGGGGGGGGGGGAGGAGAAGGAGGAGGAGCAGCAGCAGCAGGAGCAGGAGTGTGTGCTGAGATACTCAATGGATGTTTAGGTACCCTGACTTCAGTTCTGCCATCTGCCTCTGAAGTATTTCCTTGTGCCTGAAGGGTCTGCAAGAACTCACAGGTAAAACTACCTGTATGATAAGCTTTTTCCTCTTGCTCTTCTGTTATCAAACACGGTTGGTTCATCTTGAAATGGGTACATAAGGGTTAATCTTTTCTGTCTTAGCAATGGCTTATGGCTTGCTTTTGTCCAGCAAATTGTTACTTCCGCTCCAGACCTTTTTGTTTCTTGACACTGTATAATTTACCAGGTACGAGCAATTTCTAATTTAGTTGGTTTCCTTTTCCTAACAGTGTGAGACTGAAAGGAGGCAATGTAGAGGTAATAGTCTGTTTAAACTAGGTATTAATAATGCACTCTATATAACGAAGCAGTCAGGATTGCATTTTGCGAGGAGAGTTCAACACAACGGCGAGAAATAATTGCTTTGAGAACTGAAGAACTACAGCGATGGCAGCCTTTCTTGCAAAGTGAAGCTGGAAGCTGGCAAATTCTTGTAGAAACCCAATCTGCAGCTGGAAACAAAGGCACAGGCTAGCAGAGTTATTTGTCAAAGAGTATTCAGGAGGTTGGTTAAATAAACAGCATAAGAATCGAGGCCTGTAATGTGAATAAGTCTCCTGGCTCAGGAGGAGAGAATCATTTCTGGTACCCAATTTAAATCTAAATATATTGTCTCACTAGCCACTTGCACCTGAAGGTTTAAAAACAGAACAAAAAACCCTTTGCCCCAAACCTGCAATATGCAGTTAAATAGAAAATTGAGAAATTCCCACCTGCTTTAACTACAAATTAATTTTCAATAAGTCCATTCTAAACAACTGAAGCATGCCTTTCCAAATATGTTTGTATGACCTTTTTTTTTTTTTTTTTTCCTTATTTTGAGCTCCTTAAGTGATTATTAGACAGGCGTTTGAGTTTATGTTGCAGTGGGGGGGGAAAATTCAGATAATGCAAACTCTTCCTGACATTTTGTAGTTTAAGATTCAAACACTGGCTTCTTTAAAGAAGTTCTTGAAGCATTTTGTGAAGTGAAAGGATTCTCGTTTTCATGTGACTTTTGTGTTTGTTTTTAGTCTGATGGTTAGGAATGGATTTTTATAAGAGGCAGGAGGTGGCAAAAGGAGGTTTTTGCAATGTTGTCTGCAGTGTATCAGGCTCGATCTAAATCCCACTGAAGTCAGGGGGCAGGCTGCTGTTAATTTGAGTAGCTTTGGATCAGGCTGACAATGAGCAGTGCGACATGTCCAGTGGTATGAAAGACTGAGACTGGTAACTTGTTAGATTGTTTACTTTTCCCTTGAACAGTACTGGAAAGATGTTATTTCTAACAAGGAGTGCTGCAAATTTAACAGTGGCAAATTTCTAATTCTAATGTACGTTTTGCCGGCGTCAACTGCTAGATATTCCTAGTGGAACAGTAGGACACGTTATTTTGTTACTCTAGCAAACGTTTCATCTACTGTAGTATTTAATACTGAAAATGATTTGTATAGCCTTACACTAAGTATAGAGCCAGTAATTCCACAAAGTATTTAACCAGTTTTAGCCTCACCGCATTTATAAAGAGCTACCTTTACCCTACCTTTTTGAAATGTTGCTGATTTTTCTTTCCAAAGCAGCAAACTGTTTAATGACTTCCAGTACTCTATGCAGTATGCTGTTTTCATTGCTGGTTGTTTAGCAAACCTTTATCTGTGAATTTCAGCAGTGGACTGCGTGTTGAACAAACTCTCATCAAAATGTAAACTTGAAGGATCTTTGTGCCAGGTCCACTTGAATTCCATTTTAATCACTTGGAATAAATCTCAAGTTTCCTGACGTCTGTGTGTGACCACGCATGTATTGTTTGTGTCTTCCTTCCTCTCCATTCAAAAGCAGTTCTGTTCCCTTTTTACACCCTCTTGCACACCCCTTACCCTGCAAACAGAGCTCCTGTAGGCAGTGGGGCTAAGAGCTGAGCAGAGCAAAGTGCTATCAGTGCCTGTCTCGGGCCTCTCAGCCGCCTGCCACTGGAATGTGGAGGAGATGAGAGAAAACAGGCTGGAGATGAACCAGACGTGCACAGTCCCTCCCGAAGCCTATAAATGGCTCTCTTCTTACATGGCATACCAGGTCTTCTGTATCCAAATCACCTGCAAGCCTCAAAACAGATAGTTTATATGCTTTCATGGTAAAGGAAGGAGAAAGTAAATGGTTTCTTACAGCAGGTGAGTTTATGGAGTAGGAAAATTATGCAGCCTCTCTTTTTAAAGCAACGAAAATTGCCTAACTCCATTTCACTGTCACTTCCTCCTTAAGTTTTCTTCTTTATTCTTTAAAAAAAAAAAAAAAGAATTTCAAATTGCTTTCTTTAACTACTGTGCATTGATAGTCAACCAGAACCATTTTAACTGCATGTATGGCAACGGTAGATGGGTCGGTTATTCTGATCTACATCTAATTTATCAGTCACTGCATATCCTGGCTGTATTACGGGTTGACTTTATATCTTCTCTGGAGGACGCAGGGCTGCTCTGCAAACAGGAATGTGTTTGCACTTGGCACTGCAACCTGAAAATACCGGTTCTTTGTCATACCCCTGTTGCTTCTCTGTCCTCTTTGGGGCCCAACATGAACTTTGCAGCATGTAGTTTGACGAAAGGAGTGTTGCTAATTACATAATCCTGTCTGTATTAGTTGCAAGGTGACATCTGGAATGAACCAAAGGAGATGATGTTCCTGGGCATTGTGAGCCATCCTGGCCACAGTGTGCAAAGTAGTTCAGTGAAGACAATTATGTTGAATAGGGTGCAGTGTTTACTGTTTAACTGAGTCACATCCTTTGGAGGAGGGAGCTGTTTGCATGGTCACGGCACTTTGAAGGAGATCTCTACCGCTAGTTGTATGTTAGTTCCAGCTTCTTCTTTAATTTCTGATGTGAACAGTGTGAGTATATGCAGTTATTTTAGGGAGCATGGCATATGCATGTGGAAGTTTCCCTCAACCTGTCATCTGCAGCTCATTTTTCACATGCTCTTACATGCAAAATAAATGAAGCCATTTTTCTGGCTTCAGGGAATTAGCCATGATGTCCAATACATAGCTTATAATTAGCATTAGTAGATGAGGCACAGTCTTCTGTTCTCCCATGTGACAATTGCTAAAATGTCAGCTCTGAGTATTTTTTTGAGAACTAGGAAGAGCTGACCTGAGCTGTGCTCAGACACAGAGACAGCCTTGTGGTTATTTATGACAGTTGAATCATCTAAAGGAAATGACTGAAAGACGTGAATATTTATTTTGTCTCTGCACCTTGCCTGTAAGTATACATCACAAACTGAGCTGAGTGTCAGAAAGTCAAGTTATGGTTTATGCCTCTCTGACTCCCTGTCACTGGCTGACCTACAGATGTGGAATTTGGGTTTTGTTTGTTTGGACTGGATGAGATTTTTAGTAATTAAAGTGGTTTGTCAATACATTTTTTTTCAAGTAGATGATACTTTCTTGAAGATCAGCTACAAATAACGTACTGTATTGATATTTCTGTTGTAGTTGTTCAAAACTAACGTTTTGCATTACAAATTTTGAGTTCAGGTATCTACTTCTAAGTATCAGGTTACTTGTATGCTTATCATTCCTTCAAGGTAACTGTCTAAGACCCGTTGTTGTACAAGTTAATCCATATTTTTAGAATAAAGCACTCTGATAAGCACTGAGCTGTGAATTGTAAAATATTTGAATTAGATTGTTTTAATGGACTACTTGATGGTCTTCACTAATGAATGGATTTTTTTCCCCCTTTTTTGTTTCTCTCTAAGATTGCTTTATTGATAATTCAATTAAAGTAATTTATTTTTCAGCATTGGTTGGACAACACAAAGAGCATTAAAAAACAAGTTAAAAGTAAGTATCCTTTCCATTTTCTTGGATATGTTTTTTTTGGATCTGTTAAATATTTAACATGTAGGAGGCACAGAGAATTGAAATTCATGTTGGGGGGGGAAGGGGACAATGTTCTGAGAGGGGTAATTAAAGGACAAAAAACTGGCATGGTGCTGTTGATCATTTAAAAAATCCCTTCCCTCTGTAGCTTGTATTACCTTAGTCTAATGTCCTTAATTAAGCGTGCTAGATGCTTGTTAGTCATAGTTTTAAGTGGAGTCAAAGCAGCTGAAGATGCTTTGACATTATAGATGTTTATTCTCACTATAGGAAAACTTGGCTTGAAGCCTGCATCCTTTGCTGCCGTGCCGAATGCCCTCACCTATTTGTGTTCGGTCTGTCAAGTCATTACACACTTCACAAGGGTTTATTGTGGCCGGCTAGTTTCAGTGATGCATGCTTGGGTAATCTGTGACACCAGATGATTTTGTTTAGCAGCTTCCTTGCTGTCCGCTGTGGGATTTGTGGTTCTATATTAATAAAACAGAAATTTTGGAAGCATTAACAGAGAGAAAATCTCTCCTGTTTTATGCAAACATCAGACAGAATGCTGCATATTTTTAAAGCGCTGTTAATCTATCTTTTTGCTGAATTAACTATTTGCTTTCCTGAAAAGAAGGTTCTTCCACAGAAGGGCTTAAATCCCCCTAAAATATGTCTAGAACTCTGGAGTAACTTGGCCTAAGTTTTCAACAGTGGCTATTTTCCAGAACTCCGGAAAGGCCTTATATAGACCAACAGAGTACCAGGGATTTGGTTGAGTGCAGAGCCAAGACCCGCAGCTTTCTTGGTGATGGATAGAGCCCTTAAGAATAGGGATTAACTTAGATTTGTCTGTTCTTGGCAAGACAAATCAACTTAATGTGATATGACTGCTGGATTGACATATAAAACTATTTTATGCATATGTTTAAATGTACTTTCATCGTAACATTTTCCATGCATTTCCTTGTCACAAAGGAATTCTTGCCTTAATATCCTGTGGTAGGACAGAGCCAATTTCAGTCAATTTTTGTGATGTGGTTCTGTATAGTAATAAATAACATATCTCATCCAGTAGCCCTTACTACTGTCTTGAATACGTTCTACTTTGCAGTTGGCCCACCTTATTGTCTGCATTTTCGTGTAAAGTTTTACTCATCAGAGCCCAACAATCTACGTGAAGAATTAACAAGGTAAGAAGGATTTTCTGAGGTACCCAGATAAGGCCAGGGAAATGTTTTTGTGGTATTTAAATGGAATTCATTAGAGCTACTCTTTCTTACGTTAGTTGGCTGTTTGTAAACGTATCTAATGTAGCTCTCATGACATAAGCGAGACCTAATATAAAAAGATCTATATATTTATTATATTTTTGATGCATCGTTTTTTATTAAGCACCTCTGATAACTGATCTGCGTAGTCCATACACAACGGACAGAGATTTTTACTGAACAGAACAGCTGTCATCACTCTTTCTTTATCCTGTATATATTGCATTTAATTTAAGCTGTATGCAGTTGACCTATCTGTTTAGGCAGGAAAGCATTGAACTGTAATTTAGGGCTTCTCTTTGGCAAAAATAAATTCAGTTATGTTTCATTACTTCTGTGGTCTTTGCAAAACATATGCAGAGGGAAAATATTTTACCATCATGTTGAGATGCAAGTTGACAGTACCACATGTGCAGGATGATATTATCAGGTGAACAGTGGTTCCTCTTGAAGAAAGCTTCTCACAAATCCGTTCCTAGTTCTGTATTTCATGTTGGATTGAGACATATTTGGCATGTTTTGAAAGAGAATGCAACTTATCTTTAAGCAGTAGCAATCCATTGTAAAAGGCAATTTTTCTTTGCATGGTTGTCACCGCTGCTGGTGAGGATCCCATTTGGAGAGAAGACAAAGATGTTTTTTCTTAATAGCTGTAGACTCTTCATACCCTCAGCCATTTATAATAAAGAGCGTGAGACGCATTGTTTATTTAGGTTTACGCTGTGCAGATCTTGGGTCTGCACCTTAGCCGAATCCCTAGGAACTCTACCAGGAAGATTATAGCGGCATTACCCTTTATAGCCATATATGCACTGTGCTGCTTCCATGCAATGACATAAAATTATAGTTGTTCTTCTTTAATTCTCTTTTGGTGACCTGGACAGCGAGATGAAACCAGAAAATGTTTTACCTCCTAATTCATGTTCTGAATAAACCTTTAACTGTCTTTTAAAAAAAAAAAAAAATCTATATCTGTATCTGCCATTATGAAACGTTTTCATCCAAGTTGACTGAGTTCTGCCGGTCAGACCTTGCTATACAGGTTTTAGCCTAGCAGATTTGAAACCTGAGGGCTCTTAAACCCTGTCTGTCTGCTTAGCTAATCCCCCAGAACTGAAAAACAGAAAGTCTTTTCTGTTTTGAGGCAATCTTACACCTTAAAGAAGCAGCAGGAAGGAGAGCTCTAGTAGGAGTTATAGGGGTCACTAAGAGTGGTTTTCCAAGGTGTCCAGCTTTTCTTTGCACGGCAGGACACCCAGTTGGATCCTTTTGTCAGCTTCCACAGATGCGGCTCACTTGCCTTTTCTGTCAGATGCCCATCAGATGCTCCCAGCCGGAGGTCATGTGACACAGCTTAAGCATGGGAATTATGCTTGAATTGTTTGCAAGTGTTATATGGCTAGTAAGCACAGGCTGGTCACTTCTACTATATACTTGAAAGCTGTGCTAATTCTTTTGATATCTGATGTCAGTACCAAACAAATGTATTCCCACTCTAGAGGCCAGTATTCAAAAAGGCTTTAGATAATAAATGCTTTGACAAAGTATTAATGGAATACCTCCTAGCATTAGGATGAGGGAGAAAGAGTAATTTGCATTTAGCAGTTTCACTCAGCATCAGCCCTTCTTGTAACAATAATGCCTACAACTTGCAAAATGAGTACGAATGCAAAAGAGGAGCCTAGGAGAAACATAAAAATATGATTTACTAGGATGCTAAAGGATACCCTGGGATCAAATATATCATACTTCTTCTGAAAAGCTCTTGAAAAAAACATGTTCTTCTTGGGCAGCATCTAGTGTGTAGTCCTCTAGGTCAGTGACTGATGACATACAGAACCGGAGAGCAAGCTAGCAGAGCACAGCTGTCACTAACCCGGAACGAATGGCATGGAGCAGGTTAACGTCCAGTAAAGCAGCTAGATTTGTACAACATGCTAACACAGGGAATGGAGCCATGTCTCGGAATTTGAAAAACAGGCTTCATCACCATGAAGATGAAGTCACTGTCCCCTAACCAGTCTCTATCAGACTACTAAACGGAGCTATAATTGGATCATGAAGATGCCTTAGAGCATCAGGAGCCTCCAGGCACTCATTTCCAGAATGAATTGCTCATCTGTTTGTTGGGTCAAAGGAGTACTAAACCAGTTTCACAGCAGAGAAACAGATCAAGGTCTCTTAGTCGCATTTTCAGTCTCTTCGCATTATCATTGTTATTACTGGAATCAAGGATACCACCTCCTGTGGAGACTTCCAGAACTTTGTTACATTGTTTATTTTATGGCCATTTCCAAAAGTCAGACCATTTTGACACAGATTGCATGTGTCTTTAGAGGACAGTCACATCCCATAACAGGAGTGGAGTGTGATATTTAACTTTCTGCTTGATTTGAACTCTTACTGTCAACACAGAAAAAACACCTAATCCTCAAAACCAAAAAATGGTTTACCACTTAGATAATGAAATTCAGAGTGAAGTATCTGAAGAAGGCTAACAGTTGCATAAGGCAAGAAAATCGTAGGATTCTGTGAAACTTTGTAGACTCTGTGGATCCTGTTAACCATCTCCAGGTCCACTTTACTAAGTTCTTGTTGTTCAAGATTTGATTTCCAAGGGGCCTGTAGGAAGATCTGTATGCATTTCACATCCGTGTAAATGAGTATGAGGAGATATGAGGCACATATATTAATGACCACCGCTGTTGAAATAGAAGCGTTGTCTTGGCTTTATGTGTATGGCTTCTGTTCATCTCTAGTGGAATTCCTACTGGTTACCATTGTTGAAGTCAACCTTTTCAGCCGATGGGACTACTTTTATTTTTAAGGGAAAACTGTATACCATGTGGGGCAAGAGGGCTACTCTTTGTGGGTATTAGATCAGAAGGAGTGGCCTTTCACAGCAGAGGGATAAGTGCTTTTTATCCAATACTTGCCCAATTTCTAATCAAGAAGAGGAGTAGTAAATAAACAAGGCAGTGAAAGAAAGCTGGCTATGAAGAGTAAACAACTTGATAAGGCTGTAGCCTACTTTTTTTTTTTTTTTAGTCACTTTGCAATCAGTTTTCTGGGTTAGATTTTAATTAAGCAATTCATATTATGAAATTTTATTTTTGAGAGATTGTAAATCTCTATTCTGTATATGCCCAAGTGGGATCGGGAGGGAGAAAGACAGAGACCGATTTAGGTCTTTTGGTCTTATTTGGGTTTATTTCTCTTTCATCGAGCACTGTAGTTCAAATTGTGGTAACGTATTGCTCTGAATTTACTTCATTTGAAACATGTGTAAGGTTTACTAACCCAGTTGATAAAGCCTTGAAAGATCACTGTACAATTTCTTCAATCTTGAAAACCTCTGTAAAGAAGAAAAATCTCTTTGGAGGGTGGGATTTGGGTGGGGGGGAGGGTGATCAGGGTATAGCTTCCTCCTGTTTGTTGAATGATACATTAGGACTATTAATCAATGACTTTTCTTTCTCATTTACTCCTGCAGATATTTATTTGTTTTGCAGCTAAAACTGGATATTCTTAGTGCAAAGTAAGTATTGCTAATAATAGCGTTAAACAGCCTTTTGGACAATTACAGGTGTGTTTAGCCAAGGGTTTATTGGGCTGTTGCATTTGGATAACTCATGTGTTTTGCCAAGTAATGGTATTTTTTTCCTCTAGAATATTACTACTGTGTGTATGTGTAGCAACAGAGGATTGCTTAAATAGTGTAGTACTTATCTTTTGTTAATTTGCTGAAAATCTACTAATCCTTTTGCACTTCCTCATCCCAATCGTTTGCACTTTCTCACTGTTGAGTATTTGAGTTTTGTCTACTAAATAGCCACTGTCGGCTAAGGTTTTAACAAGGCATTTCTCTTATGGCAGATTGGAATGTCCTTTTGACACAGCTGTCCAGCTGGCAGCTTACAACATGCAAGGTGAGTAGATAAAGGCGTGGAAGGATACGTTTCGTAAACAGCTTTGTGTAGACTCTTATTACCTCTTTTAGTCTGTCGTAGTGATATCCAGAAAAAGGTTTCTATCCAGATGTTAGTGATCCAAAGTGAAGCACAACTCCTCTTACGAATAGTTTTGTTGATAGCATATATTGAAAATTACTTGATTTCTCAGCACACAGAGCAAGAAGATCTTGAATATGAACAGCATTGCCCTGAAACTTCTTTGCTCAGATGCTTGTGTGTAAACTTCTTCACTTTCACACAAGCCATAAGATGTGTAGTCTTCTTGAATTGCTTTGAGGTAGGAACATGGGTTACCATTTGTTTTCTTCATGCAGTTTCTGCCATGTGTTTTCATCTTTGTACAAATCAAATACAAAATTATTTTGATTCTGCACTCAAATGAAAAGTCATGTGTCTAAAACCCACCCAACTTTTGACTTCAGTGTATTTGCAGAAACACATTTATGTCACATGCACTCTTACTAACAAGTCATCTGTGACTTTCGATTCCAGTGTCAATGGCTTCTGAGAGCTGTGTTCTGACTTTGTGTAAGTTTTTTGTATGGGTGGTACATCACTGATCTTCATGGCCAGCGTCTTCTATTGTTTCGTTGAGGGATGTGATCCGAACAAATATTCAATTTGCTGTGGTGTTGAGTAGGGGAACTCACAAAAAAGGAGAGAAGTGGGTTGAAGTTTTAGAAATACATGCTAGAGAAGGCTTTGAGGTCCTTTACAGATGGTGTAGCTATGTGGCCTTGTTCTACCTGGTTTATTAGCATACAGAAGAATCCCAGAACTTCTACTGAAAAGTTTTCCTGTAGTCGTCTTTGCTGGAAAGGGTTTTGGATATGTGCCGTACCTTCGTGCCATGCAGATTCTCTATACGGCGTTCATCTTATAAACCAATGTGCTGTTGTACTTGCTTTGCAGAAGTTTGACTAAGTCACTGAAATTCTTGCTCTTTCAAATATTTTCCAAAGCACGTTTTGCTCTTAAGACAGGAACAGTGTTAACTGCTAATGGCCTGATCGTGTGTAGGCATAGAGAGTTGGGATGAAGTTGTAGAGAAACCTGCCTTGTTTTTTCCCTACTCTTGTTTGGGGAGAAAAAAAAATTATATTTATATGTATATATTCCATGCTTAGATGTGTCATCGTTTTAGAGTCTTAAGATGCAAGCATTCAGTGGATCAGTTTTTGGAAAAACAAAGTAATCCAATTAGGCCATAAATACATTGCTTTTTGTGCTATTTTTTTCTTTCCTCTTTCCACAATGAGGCCCTTACCAGAGCTTTAATCTTACTGTCTGACAGCTGTGTACTTTTTATTTAAATCAGCTGGAACCTAAGCTGGCTTTGACAGCATTCCTTTCAACAGAGGCAGGCGTGTTAGTGGGAGTAAATTATTATACAACTACAGACTTCCTCTGTCAGCGTTTAAAAAAAAAAAGGGAGGGGGGGAGGTTGCTCAAAGGACTATTACTATGCTTGCCATGTTCAGAAATCCAGGAAACAGGTTTTTATATTGTATATAGTTTTGTACCTTCAGAATAGTTTGTGCATTTATTTGACTTTTGCAGGTGGTCTTGAAGATCTTTCTTTTTTTTCCCCCTTCACAAGCATATGCATTTTTTCCAACAGAACAATTATTGACCTGTGCTGGATACTCAAGTTCCAAGTTACAGAGTACAGAGTTCCCGATTTTTGGATATAAGTTGAACATAAAGAAGCCACTTGAAATCATTGGGAGGAGCAAAAGCTTAGTGTCTCTGAAAATCAGGACATTGTTATATAGGTTTCTAACTGTGGGTTTCTGTATTTTAGGCATACATTGGTCTTTAAGAGCTGGACTTGTTAGCATCTGTGGGAAAGGGAGGTTGTGCTTTTGACGTGGCACACCCATTGCCTCGTATGTTCCAGTGAGCTCTCTAAATAGCATCTCCTATTGCCTCTGTAGAACGCGCAACAGTAGACCACGTGAGCCGTTTGACTGACCCATTAGGACATTTATTATGTCCGTAGATGAAAAGGAGAGAGAAAAATAGCAGCTGTGTGATTATCCCCTGACACAAAGTAATTTTAGAAGAACGAAAAATTTCCTAGCCGTTGAAATTGAAGTTGGTTTGTAGAACGGACAAATAATTTTATGAAAAATGTCAAAACTGTTTTTGCTGTTTTGAAATCTCGTGTGTTTTTAATTATTTAAGGCAAAATTGCATTCCGTAACTTTTATCAACTGTTGTCTCAGTAGAGATTTTATTGATTAAAAATGTTTCAGAACCTTCTGAAAGAAAAAAGATGACTTTCAAGGATGTTGATAATTTTCATTTACAAGAACCTTTTAAACCAATATATCAGCAGCACTTTGTAAGAATTAATGCAAAGGTTTTGAATAGACATTAGGATGAGACTTTCATTTTCTCCAATTTACCTGTCAGGAAAGGTGAAACTGCAAATACTGGGAGGACTGATGGGAGAGGGGGAACAGCAAAATAAATTTAGTATTTTAAATCGATTGGCAAAGCGCACAGAAGTTCTTGTTAATATCTTCTGTCTTTGTTGGGGACATCGCTTGACATCCTTGCTGAACATGTCCCTGAACTGGTGTCTGAGTTCAGGTTTGTGCCCACTCAGACTGAAGAGATGGAGCTAGCCATTTTTGAGAAGTGGAAGGAATGCAGGTACTAGATCTTCCCGTACATGCTCGCCAAGTGTTTGCCCAGATTTTTCTGTGAAGAGAATACATTAAAAAGATTATACTGAATCTTTTTCCATGGTCATGTTCAAGAACATAATTCTAATGTGGTTCCATCATATCTTGTAAGAGAATGTAATGTGAAAATTGAAGTTTTCCAAAGGTCCGAGTTAAATGATGAGATTGCATAATCTTGAAATGCAGTAATTTTTGAAGCAGTGGTTTTCGGATTGCGTTTTACAAAAGTGACCTTGATGTTCGTGAAAGCAAAAAGAAGAGTGTTTAAGCTTTTCACAAACTCTCGGGCATTCTTTTTCTTCACATGCCAGCTTTTCCTTTTTGTGCTTTTTCAGGCATCTACTTAACCGCAAAAAATTTATTTCAGGGGGCAAACGCCAGCACAAGCTGAAACTAACTACTTGAACAAAGCTAAATGGTTGGAAATGTATGGTGTAGACATGCACATAGTCAAGGTATGTTTAACCACAGCGTGGTGACCTTTGGAAACGATAATGTTAGCTTTGTCCAGCATTTCAACATTTGTTTCCCCTCAAGGCAAAACAAAAATAGGGAGGCTGTACTCATCTAAACTGTGTAACAAGTGATCTGGCTTTGCCTCAACATTCCACCTGGCAGCAAATGTTTCTGCAAGGTGTAACTTCAGTCCAAACATCTGCTCTGTATTAAACGTGTGATTGGTGTGGCAATATGTACTACAGTTTGCATTTAGACTGAAAGCTATGTGAAAACCTTAGTAGTTAAATTAAAATTGGCTGGATTCCAGTCAGTTACAGGGGAAAATAGATCTTCAGTGAAGAAAGGAGCGCAGAGGAGGTCCTTGTTACACAGACAAATCAAGAGACTTTCTTTAATTTGGCACTATATTTAGTCTTGCTGAAGGGCTGCAAACTAGAAAAATCCATTGCACAAGATCATTGAATGCAGAAATGCTTCTGAAAGTTTTGTTAGCCTAAATAAGCAGATACATCTTTAATTGTAACACTGGAAGAATAAGCTACATTAATCACTGGAATAATTTGGATAGTGTGTCAGGCATGGAAACAAACATAATATTTTTTTTTTTGTAACAATTAGGCAAGGGATGGCAATGATTACAGCCTTGGACTAACCCCTACAGGAGTTCTTGTCTTTGAAGGAGACACCAAGATTGGTTTATTTTTCTGGTAAGCTTTCTGATTAAAATAGTTTTTTACTCTTTTGTTTCTTTTCCACTAGTCAAAAATATCTTTGTTTAGAATATGAGACCACCATGGATACTAGTTATCTGCAAAAGTATTCTGTAGCCTGTGAGTGTTTTCACAGTGTCCAAAACATAATCTTTCTTTTTTTAACGTTCTTGATTGATATATGTTAATAGGCAGTGTTGCTAGTGGTAAGTGAAAGACTGGATAACCTTGGATTATTTTTAATGTTTTGTTTTGGGTTTGTTTTTGTTTTGCTGAATTTTGCAGTAGGTGCTTTGGAAATCAAGCATGCACCCAACCAGTAAAATTAAGCTTTTTCATGCATTCAGGGCAAGTTGTACACCTTACTTTTCAGAGAGAGGCAAAAGTAATTAGAGTAGTGCAATCTTTTCTTAATCTTATATATTATTAAGTGCTATAACCTGTAATTCCTATCCAGTCTTTAAAAACTGTATTCACAGAGTAAGCAAGCAGATGGTAGAAGAAATTTCACTGTACAAAGACTTAATTTGGCTTAGTCCAGTCTAATTTTATAAACTGCTCAGAGAAACATTCACTTGGTGGCAGAAATGGCAGGTGTGTGTCCTATGGATTCAAGAATGCAGGAGTCCCTCCACCATCAGTTCTGTTTTTATTTAATTATTTATTTGTTTGTTTTGTTTGTTTTGAGCAGTTTCCTTTTTTATGTCGTGTCCATGTTGTTCTCTTTGGAAACTGTATGTGGCTCTGGGATCTGGGTTTTTCTGAAACAGCCATTGTTGGAAAGGATCTGTGATGAACTGTAGAGGATTTACCTTTCTTTAATAAAACAGAACTTAATTTGACCTGTCTTTCTGACTGCACACAGTTTTCTGTGCAAGTGGAAGAGCAGGCAAGCATGGGTATTTTGGAGGAATTTGCAGTTTCAGTTCAAGTAATTACTGTTTAAGATTTGATAGGTTCATGTATTTTGGAGTTGCTGACTTGTAAATCTTTTAAGTTTCTAATGAAGAAGTCCTAAATGCTGAGGTATAACATCGATATCCCCAGTCTGGTCAGACCCTTATTGCATGAACTCAACAAAACAAAAAACTAGCAAACAAAAACACACCCCAAAAATTATTTGGTAGAGACTCTTGGACCAGCATGTCTAATATACCTCTCAGTGAGTTAGTAAGAGTTAGATGTATACTGCTTTTTCTGTTCATCTTGCAGGCCAAAGATAACAAGGCTTGACTTCAAGAAAAACAAACTCACTTTAGTTGTTGTTGAAGATGATGAACAGGTAGATAATTATATCTGTTTAGTTATGTCTCAATCTTGATTATACAGCGTTAATTTACTTACTCCTGATCTCTTTCTTTATATTTATGCTTTGAGAATTAACATGGCTGTCTTGCAAGATTTGTAGTTGTGGCTCTTGGGGGGAAATGAAGGGACTTCTGTATGAAATAAATTGGTTCAATTATTTTTTCTCGCCTTTTTTAAAAAGGGGAATGTCATATTAAATTAACGTGGGCCAAATAATTTTGAAAGCCGATTCTTGTTTTGATGTGCTGTACTGGATAGTTTAAAAAAAAAAAAAAAAAGGGCTGGGTAGCGTGATTCCCAAGCATTGGAATGAATTCCTTAAACAGATGCTAGAATTGTTCTCGGGGAAGAAATTGCTCTCAGCTGAGATTATAAAAATGTGAGTATTAGTAATTTAAGTAGATTGATCTGATTTGAAAGTGAGATCGAGAAGCTAGCTTCAGAGAGAAGTACCTTTGTATTATAATAATGTGTTTAATTTGTAATTTTTCAGAGGCTTGGCTTGTTACGTGTACAGTTGGTCTGTAGCCCTCTCCAACTTCAAATGTTGGAGCAGTTATTCATTAAAGCTTCTGAAAAAGTTGATTTTTTTCTACCTAAAATATTTTTCTTTTAACATATGTTTCAGCATCCATAAAACCATAGTTTATTTGACTTTACAATTAAATGTAACTTTGACTTATTCAAGCCCCTTATAAATCTGCAGTGTGTTTTGTATGCTTTAAGGGAAAGGAGCAGGAGCACACTTTTGTTTTTAGGCTGGATCATCCCAAAGCCTGCAAACACTTGTGGAAATGTGCAGTGGAGCATCACGCCTTCTTCCGGCTCCGAGGTCCCGTCCAGAAAAGCTCAAGTCGATCTGGCTTCATTCGGTTAGGATCCCGGTTCCGATACAGGTCAGTGTCATCTATCATTTAGGATATCTCCTCTGTCGTTTCTCGAGTGGAAACAGGAAAGAAATTGAAATTAGTTCACCCAGGAATGGAAGTTGCAAATTCATGGAGTTAAGTTATTTAAAATTACCCTTTTTTAAAATGTAAGTATGGTTTCTTTCCTGCATTTTCTGATTTACTCTTAGGTGATTCTGGTCTGTGTAGAAAGTTATCCAGGGAAAGGTTTCTTGAGGTTTATGTTCCTTATGTAGCATATATAGTACATTTTGTTCTATAGACCACTTCACCTTGAAAGCCCATTCCTTTTAAGAACCATAGAACGCTGATGATTGTTTTGCACAGTTGGGGACAGAGCTAGTCTTTTGACTTTTGAGTTTCTAACCATTATTAGCATGATGGTAGCACTTCAGAAGCCTCAGATAAGGCCCCCGTTCCATGTCAGGCAGTACACGTGTGTGTAACTCACTTCGAGTGTTCCCAGACTAGTCTGCAAGATGCTGTCAGATGCTCCACCAGAGTTGATGAGTACATACAGCGTGGTAACTCCATGCAGCATGCATACACGTAGCCCTTAACCCCTCTCTTTCTAGCAGCTGCACCTTTACCCTCTCATCTGCTTCAGAAAGGACTAATATTACCAAGAAATGAGGTGAATGTGGGGCTGCTACTGCTTTGGGGGGCTGGATCTGTCCAGACTCCACACAAAAGAAGGTTTACCATACCTTTAGAAATGTCATTTGTTGGTCGGGCCAAGTAGGCCACTTGTGAACTGTTATCTGGTTCATCAGATGAGTTTAAGGAGCTTGAAGGAACAGTGGAAGTGAGGAGGAAAGAAGAGTGAAGAAAGAAGGAAGAAGTGGGATAAGGATGGAAACGCTTCGTGTTTCCTGTCACCAAAAGACTTGCCGCTGTATGGACGAAATACCTTTCCAACTTTCTCTTGGAATGGAATTAATGCTTTTGGGTAGGAACTGCCATTGCTACCTGGTGTCCCCACTTGGGTCAGTTGAGGTGACCTTAACACTCAGCTTTTGTTGTTCTTACCCTTAAAAATGCGTTGAATACTCTGGTACTTAAGAGGACTTGGTCTGCCTAAAGAGTCCCCTAAGCCTTCAGGCCTATTGTGTGAGGGGGTTAGCTTGCTGCAGGGGTCAAGGTTAGTTCCTTTTGTTTCAGGATTCATGCTGATTTCAGTCTTCAGCAGTTATCTAAACTGTTAGCATTTGTGTTGATTTATATTTATTCCATCTGGTTAGAGGCAAATTACTGCGAGTCCAGAGCTTGTAATAAATGCGTTTTACAGCATTATCTTTAAAACGTATGAGGAAGACTCATTTCATCAGTTGAGGAGAATGGCATGTGTTAGGTCAACAGAACAGGTTATGCATAATCCACAGCTGTACGAGCTGGCTGTAGGCTGCCTTATCAGAGTGAGCCGGCGACTGTTCCCCACGTTTTCTTTGGACTACCTTTTGAGACTTTCAGCAAAGGGGCTACTTGGTGTGGTCAGTCTTCAGGGTGAACTTGATGCATACTCTGCTACTAAAAATTATTAACTAGCTGTAATTAGTGATCACCATGTTTACATCTACTATATGAAGGGGGGAAAAAAAAACAACCCTTTTCTTGCAAAATCCTGAGAAAAAGGTATCCTGATGGAAAAGAATCCTGGAGGAGGGAAAAAAGCATTTCCTGGAAATGAGAGAAACTAAATACAAATTTTTAGCTTTTCTCTGTGACCTTTGACAAGATTCCTCAAGCTTCACCTTTCCTCTAGAATTATCAGCCTTTCTCAAGCTGCATGCATGGTGACCATGGTAATATGTAAAGGACAGACATACTTTTTGAGCAATTTAATGTTTAAGGAGTCATTCATTATGTCTGCTTTTTCTTTTGGGAAAAATGAGTCGAAGGGTGTTTGTAAAATTTCGATTTTATGTGAGAGGCCTTCTGAAGTTTTAACTTTTTTTTTTTTTTTTTTAAATGGAAGTGAGATCAGATTATTAAGCCATGAATTCGAAACAGTTAGAAATGTGGCCTTTTTTACAGGCAGTGTCTGTATTCTGTGATCAAAAAGTGATTTATTCTACTTTTTTGTACTTTTACTTGGCATTGTTAGTGGGAAAACAGAATATCAAACTACCAAAACCAACAAAGCCAGAAGATCCGCATCCTTTGAAAGGAGGCCCAGCAAGAGATATTCAAGACGAACACTACAAATGAAAGGTAAACTCCTGACTTTCCATTGTGCAAAGTGCAATCCACAGTGAGAATCACGTAGTTATGTTCTCTACAGGTTCTGCATAGGAATTCTTCTGTAGACATTTGTCTCCCTCTTTAATTTTGAACATACGATCTCCTTTGACTTAGGAGGTAACGTGTATTTATCAGAAAAGGCTCGTGTCCACAATCTGGCATTCTAGGTTGCCTAACAGCTAAAACACCCATGAATATTGCAAAATGTATGTCTATATAAAGGTTGAAAACTTGAATTGAAGAAAGAGTGATTTTAATAATGATAATATTTGAAATTTTGGAATCAAGTTTGAAATTCTCGCTGTTGAGATTCTCCCGTTGTCCTTAGACGTTACGTTCCGTCAGGACGAGACGCTCGCTTTGTCTCGTTCTCACTCCTGCCTAGGTCAGGAATGGCCTCCGTGCATACTTTTGGATCCTTTCTTAAATTCCGCTGTTTGGTTTGCTCTTCACAATTTTTTTTTTATTCTTCACATTTAGATTTTTTTTTCTGTATGTCATACATGGGAAGGCTGTTTGTAACTTTTGTCCTTTTAATTGTCTGCTTTTAAGCAATGCTCACCTATTTTTATTAATAATATGCTCTCTTATTTTATACATGAGAGCCTAATTTCAAATTAAATTCTAATTACTACTTCCCTGAATGTTTTTGCAGCCCATGTTGCTAAACTTGAAGAAACAAGGTAAGGTGCATTCTAATATTTAACTTCATTCTTGATATTTGCCATCTATACTTGAGCATTTATCTCTGCAAGGTTGTAAGATTAGCTAAGTGTAGAAGAGCATTAACCTCTTAAACTGTGGTTTTGGTGTGGGTTTTTTTTTGTTTGTTTGTTTGCTTTAAATAAATCTTACTGTTCAGAGCAAAGCTACTGTGTTGCTGTCACGTGGAAGATATTGCCAAACATACTTACTGGCAGGAAAAAATGTTTATGAATGCTAGAGTAGTGGGTTTATGACTAGCTCCAATTTTTACTGATTATGAGCTCTTGCAGCATAAAATACTGTAAGCTGCCAAGTAAAAAGGTCAGATAAAGCATATGAGGATCCCTTCCTGCTAAGCTGAGATCTGCCTACTCTGGTTGCGTGATTGAAATATGTAATCAAGCGAATTTCAGAGAAGAGGCAAATAGTATAAAACAAATATTTGAAATAATTTACTGCTTTTATATTTTTCTGTACTGTACTTGCATTTATTTTTATATGTTTAAATAATTATTTTTATATGCTTGTGCTTTTGGTTCTGTGTTTATAAAGCTGGAGTCTTCATACTTACTGTTGCAACGAAACTGAATCACAGAGTTTTCAGGCTGTTCCTTAAGGGAAGACAGAAAAACAGGCTAAAAAATTCCCTGATAGCAAAGAAACAAACGATCACTCAGTTCTGCTTTCTGTCCGTTGCCCTAACTCGAGAACATTGCAAGGATTAATTGCAACCAAATAGGAAAGAAAAGTAGATCTGTATACATGTTATAAACATCATGAAAGACAGTAGCCAAGTAAGGAGTGTCAAAAAACATTTCAAAACACCTGGCTGAATTCAGCCACATGCCTTCTGCTTGTAGCAGCGGAGGAGTGATTCTTGCATGAGAGGGGGAACGTGGGGAGAAGGCTGCAGTACTGCAGCTGCGATCTCTTCGTCTTTGTGACCTTACGGGCAAGCCTCTCCTGTACTAGCTGTCCTTTTTATAAAATGGAAAAGTTCCTTTCAACACTGGATGAGTGTGCTTGAAGATCCTCTGCGTGCAGACGGTGATTATGTGTCTGATTAATTAGCGCTCTCTTTGCGCTGTTGCCATGCCCTTCTCCGAGTATCATGCTGCTTAGGTCATTCTGGGAGTGGCAAGAGAAACTTCATGTGCAGTTTCTCCTTCTGATAAGAAGACGTATTTCTGATCTGTATCGAGGTGTGGCATTGTTATGGTAGTCTCCAGAGCAATCAATGCCGTTTCTGAAACTCTGCACTCAAGCATTGCTAGCTGAAATGCATCATGAAAGATGTGTGTTGATCCATTCTTTTGTATTAACTCAGCGCTGAGGAATGTGCTACCCAGAAGGCATTCCTTAATATTTCTTTTAAAAGCGCAATATTCTGCAACCTCCGCCCTGTCAACATAGAGGGTGCAAAGTGGGGAAAGAGACAAGGAACAGATTGTTTAGTATTGAAGTAAAGTAATTTAAAGGATCGTTAAAGTAGGCATAGAAATCTATTTGAATTCGTCAGCTTACCAAGTTGGGTAGCAATTATCCAGGTCATAAATGAAAAGGGTATTAGTTCTGTGAAACTGGAATCATTTAAAAAAAAAAAAAGAGAGAGAGAAGTCTGGAAAAAAATGGATTAGAATCTTCTCTTAAATGTTTAGCTTTATATAAGATTTATAATGTGTGACTATTGTGCAGGATGTTAGTACTTTTAAGTCTCTCAAAAAACTGAAAATATAAAATGTGTTTCTTGTAGAATCAAAAATCAGTAGGCATAAGGATGTATTTAAAAAAAAAAAGATTTTTAATGCTCTGTGGAGCTGGCTCATAATTTTTGAATGACTGCTTTTAAGACTGAAGCAATTCACTCCGTTAGAGCCTATATGCAGAGGAAACGCATGAATTTTCCTGATAAACTTTGTGAAACTTCAGATCATAGGAGTCCTAATTATGCAGCAGTCATATCTGCACCACGTAAGTGAGGTTTTGAAAATGTCACATTGCGTTGGGTGTTTAACAAGCAACTAAAACCATGGCACTTTCGCTTTTGAAGTGCCCCACCTTGTTGTTGAATGAGGAGGACTTTCTAAACGTAACTGGTTTAGGAGAGGAAGAGGGAAAGTCAGAGTTTATGGCCAAGCTTCACCGTGAACAAATCAAAAACTAATTTGGTAACATCAGTTACCTAGAATGAGACAGGTGACCTGAGGCACAAGTTCTTGATTTTTGTTTTGGGAACAGTAAAATACTCTAGAAAGATCTTTGCTAGACTTTGTGTTTCTTTTTGAAAATACATACAGTTCTGCCAACTGGCAAAAATAGTGTGGTGTTCTTTGAAAACTTCTGATTTAAATTCTTTTTGTCTTTCAGTATTCCAAACAATGCTGTTACTAACCAAAATAATGGATCACAACCAGTAAGGCCCATCTTAGTCATTCGTTTTTAAAAACAATTTTCATGTACTGCTTTCTTCTAAAATCTAGTGCCTGACTGTATTAAAAGTTATGCAATTAGCGAGTAAGTTGTATGGCAAAAAAATGGCTGCTAATTTCCAGGCATGATAATTGGTTAACTGAGCTGAGGTAGGGAAAATACCTCGTGCCCCAGTACCACAACAAATTATACTATTTATATGTATCTTTGAGAATTATTAGTATCTGAAGTACATGAATTCTATATGCCAAGTTACCTTAAAAAGGCGGGAGACAATTTATCAGCAGCAGTGTTGATCTCTTGTTCTAGTATTTTTTTCTAGTATTCTGAAAGAGGAGAATGTATCTGCAACTTAAAGAATGTATTGTTAGCAAAATTTAAGTATTTTTTGAGTTTGAGAACGAAATCATAGACACCTGTTCCCTGAGTACTTGTGCACAGAATACCTTATTTCACCGTTAGTGTAAGGTAACGCTCTTTCTTCATGAGTAACAAAATAATTGTACTTGGAGTTTGGAAAGACCCTGACTCCCTTTCTGGCGTATTTCAGATGCAAAGTGCAACAGGACAGGTCACAGATTGGCAGAGAAGGGAATCAAATTTATTTTAACATTAAGCAGTCAACCTCAACTGGAAGCATACAGGTAGACTGCTGCTCTGTAGAGCCTCTCGCCTTCTGTGCCCAATGAGTTGCTTTTTTTCAAGAGCAGTTATGTTTCAGATGGCAATTTGAAGGCTAGAATTCTAACCCAAAAGTTTCAATCACTGCTGCAAAGTTACCTATAGAAGGAAAGAACTACTGCATGAATCGAAAAAAGACACAACAGGCCACCGTTTTTTACTATAATCTTCGAGCAGCCCTGGAGTTATTATGGATCCTGGCTATAGTGTGCAGTGCTGGGGAAGATTGGGCCTGGGCGTCCAGTACTGTGGAAGTAATGGAAGAAAGCGGCCCTGTTTTAGCTTTGTGCTTAAGAAAAGTGATGATATATTTTGTTATGTATAACATGTCATTCTTTCATTAAAGCGTGTGTCGTAACTTAATTGTTTATATTGTGTCCCCAAAGAGTTGGAACGCAAAGCCGAATTTACCTGTCCTAACAGCAGTTCCTTCTGCCCCAGTCTTAGTGGAAATAGAAAACCTCCCAAGGAGCCCTGGGACCAGCCAGCAAGACAAGAAGTGGTACGTTCTGCCTTGTTGTTAAATAAATTTTGCTTGCTTATGCGTAGTCCAAGTGACTGTTTCTTTATCTGCGCTTAAATAAACTGCCTACCTTGTATCTTTAAGATAAATTGACAGCCCAGTTAGTGATGATGCAGCCAGATTGTTGCTATGAATGTAGTCCGGGGAGGTGAAGACAGCAATGCTTAGTCGCTGCCAACCAGAAAAAAAAGACTTCTGCAGGGACTGCCAATGATTAAAGCAGCAACAGCATTTTTAAGTCTTGGAGGGTAGCTGGGGCTGCCTATTTTGCCACAGTATCTCTTGTAGCCCTTTGCTTGGTATCGTGGGAGTCTAAGGATTTCTCTCGATCCTTAACAAAATGTAGAACCTCGTAAACAGGTGTCCTTCTGAATCTCTTTGAAAAACCTTTTGAAATGGGTAAACTAATTTGTTCATAATCTGGAAGAGAATGGGTGCTTGAGGAAAATGATACGAGCTGAAGATAAGAGCTTTGATTTTATGTAAGCAGGGTACCTGCGCCAATTTTATGGATTGGATGCATCTCAAAACCAGGCTGATTGGTTTGAAGATAAATGTACCTACCAGATATCAGTTTTAAAGTAATTTTATATTGCAAAGGCTTTTCAGACTAAAACTGACATTTCAACCTATTATTTCTGCATGCTTCATCTGACCTTTTTCAGCTTATTGTGCGTTCAGAGTGGATGTGGCTAATCCTAGAGGGGTAATTCTGATTTCTGTGAGAGTCTGAAGAGCAGTAATGCTGGAATGGAGTGGCGCTAAAGCTCTTATCCTCAGCAGTTTCAGCCCTCAAGAGAAAAAGGTTCTTCTCTCTTTGTCTGGAATAGCAACCTGTTTTGCTGCACACTCTCTGAAATATAGATAATATCTTTTTCTAACAGTACACTGACAAATGTATTTTAATTTCTTAAATCTTATTGATTAAAGACTTTTAATACAATGGATCTTGGATTACAGGAGGGAGGATAATTCTGCTTTGTCTGTTGCATTGTGTTGCAGTTTCAGTCAAAACGAATGATCAATGCTGTTTTTCTTTTGCCCTTGATTTGTTTAGTATCTGAAATCTGTGCTTGTCTATGGTGAGATCGTGTTGATCGCTCGATTCCTTCCATGGTGGTGGGTGAAAGAGGTGGTGGTTTCTTTATTCTTCAGCATTTTCAAAATGGTTTTGTTGTTATTCTCTTGGTCTAACAGCAAGGTGCACGCTAGAAATGGGTATTTCCTTTGGTGGAAATGTTTGACTCGTGCTCCAAACAGCTCTTCTTGGGTATCTGATTCAGCCTGGCATTTGTGCTAGTATTTGCAAGGCTTCTGTTGTGCATTGAAATCCTACTGCTTTTGTTCAGAAACAGAGAGGACTTTATAGCCAATCTGTTTCAGTTTTGATCTTGGTGCACCTGTTTTAGGATTAAAAGCCTGAGCCTGTCTTTTAACAGGCATTGTCAAGGAAGCTAAGCTCATGTGCCAGCTGCTGCAGTATGTAGCCTTTCCGTAGGAGAATGAATGGGAATATAAAATACACCCGTATGTAAACCAAAACAGTAAGCAAAAAGGAAAACAGCCTTCTTGGTAATTAATTCATTCAAGAGAGTGATGCTTGTGCTGCTTATGTTTTCTGTTTCTTAGAGACATATCATTACTGGAGGCAGTTGTCTTCGGGCAAGGTGGTTTTAATGTGTTTACTGGAAACAGTACTGCCTCTAGTAAAGGACAAATTCAGCTGTAGGAAGAAGGCAACAGTTTGGAGCTGAGTCAGCAGTTATGCTGCATTCTGGTTTCATAGATGGGAGGTGGGGTTAAGTTAATACAATTGCCGGAGCATATGTGCTTGTTGTGGGGGCTGCGACTTGACTACTGCGCCTTCGAGTCTTGGTGTCTTGATGCTGCTAACAAGGTCCTTCCTGAACTGCCCTGTCTTCAGTTGGCCTGTTTCTGCGTGAATTATCTCTGCTTCCTGTCAGAAAAATAGTCATCTTTTAGAGAGAGAGTTTGCCAAGTTTTTTGAGAACAACGAAATCTTTCAGGTTGGGGATTTTGTTGATGGTTAGATGTGAAGGGGTTTAGAAGTAAGGTTCTGACCTTGTGAGTGTCTGTATTTTTCTTGGCAGATGCTTTTATTGGCTACGTTGCAACTAGAGCCCTTCCTAATGTCAATGTTTCCTTTAATTTAAAATGTTAATGCTGCAGCTGCCAACAACAGTTGTGCCAGATCCTAGAAAGTACTCTGCCAGATAGGAAGGATTTTAGTTTCTTTGTTTTTTCTTTGCTCCATTCCTATAAAGTTGTCAGAAGAGGAAAAGTGCATACGTCCTTCTTGGCTATGCAGATGGCCTTGAATATTAGCTGCCAGGCCCAAAGGCCTAAAACATAATTGGTATCTTTCTAACTTGGACCTTTTCTCAAAAAGCTGTTTCCGCGATAAGACAAGGCAGGAAACAAAAGATTAATAATTCTATTTCCGAGAACATGTAGGGGGGCCTTTTTGCTTGCTTAAGGATTCATGGGTCATTTCCTTAGAATGAGTTACACAAGGAAAATTTACCCATGGGTGGCCTTTATAGAAAGCCTCTCTCTTTCTAAAGGAGGACTATCCTTGAACATTAATTATTTACTGCTGTTGTGAATCCTGCATGCTTTTCTGCTTCCCTGCCTTAATACATGTGATCTTCCAACTAATGCTTGGCTGTTCTGGTAGGGCTGGAAATGTTAAACTGGACTTGCTGGAACATGAGAAGATGAAATTTGAACTTGGGGGCTGTGTCGGACCCCCTCTGAATGAACAACAACAGAGTTTCCGCTTTGTTGTTTAGATTTGGGCCATCAATTAGGGAATTGTACATTAAACTAAAGGAGGACTTCTTTCTTTCTTTCTTTCTTTCTTTTTTTTTTTTTAAGGAATTTCTTTGCTTGAGTAGCTTATGAGAGAGCACTTTTTCCCATGCATTTTGATACCTGACTCCAACTTGCATTAGCCTCGCTCAGAACATTACAGTGAAGGATCCTAATACTAGAGACAACAGTTAACAGCTCTTTGTCCATTTCAGCTCATTTTTTCCTCCTGAAACTAAAGTTTTTAAAAGTTTTCTACAACTAAACAATTTCAGTAAGTTGCTTATACCTGCTGTTTTCGCAGTGCTTGTGCCTTAAAGCCTTACAGCTTTCTATGTAGTAATACCTGGCACTTGCATAAAACACATATTTCAGGACGGTGCTTTGAAGTGATCGGTGTTCTCTCCTGTTCCTCTTTCTAGCTTTTGGAGGACTCTATTCCGCATGGTACTTCTGTGGTTTTGATTTTATGAATTTGAAATTTTAAACTTATGAAAAGTTATGCCTTCATGTGCAAAATCAGAAAGCAGGCTCTTGGCTTATGTTGTGATCTTTTCTAAAATAATCTATCTCCAACTGTGTTTTTATGCTAATCAGGTATAGCGAACTAAGATCAGCTTCTTCAATAGTATCTAGCCCATTAGTGAAAAAAATTAAGCAAATGATCTGTGTATGCTGTGCTATTTGCTCCTTCACAGTAATGCTCCTTTCTCTGATGTTCTGTTTCCTTCTACTCACATTATAATCTGCGTTTTCCAGTGGCTTTGAAACTTGGTGTTGCTTATAGAAGCTTATTTCAATTTTATATTTAGATCTGCCACTTAAACCCTTTAAGCTTCCTGAATATAAAATGCACCATGCGCTTGGGAGGTTTGTTCCTCTACCGCATTGTGCCTTTTCCCCATCTGTAAAATGAGCATTGTTCTTGCTCAGTTTTGTGAAGTGCTTTGAAATATGAAGCATTTTTCATTTATGTAAGCATAAATATAATATACATGTAATAATTTAACTACTCTTTTCTGACTTTTGCAAAAATGCGCATTATTCTGCAGCAAAGGGGTTTACTTGACACTGTCTTGATGTGCACGCGCATGCCTCCTTCCTTCGGTGTTTACCTTCTAGCAATGTCGTCCTTCCTTGCCTTTTCACATCAGTCTTCTTGCCTTCTGTTTTTCCACCCTTTTTCTCATCCATACCTAATTACTAATTGTGCCCCCTCCCACTCCCCAATAATCCAGGCCCTTTGATGCTGCCGACTGCCATCAACGTGGTGGAAGTGTGTGGAGCGCGTGGGCCCCGCCAAGGACCCGCTCTGCAGACGGACAGTACACTGCTTTTGTTCATGAGCGCAATGTGAAGAACGCGGGAATTCATAGTGGTGCTGTTACCTATGTCCAAACCACCATGACCAATCTGTAAGACGTGGGCCTTTCTGGAGCTTGAGGCTGCTTTGTAGCAGAGGCCGCCGGAAAGTTACATTTTGAACTGCCTTTAAGATAAGGACAACGGACCAGAAGCTAACTAGGGGAAAAAAAAGCTTTTATTATGAAGGCTCTGCATATGGTGCTGTTGGTATTTTTAGTCTTTAAAGAAAAAAATAACGTATGGACTACAAGACACCAGTCAGTCTTGTATTAGAAAGAGTATATATATATCTTTTTAATTGCCTTAGGATTTTTCTTAACGGTTGAAAGATTTTAGCTGGTTTTAACACTGAGAGCCATGCAGGAAGTCACATTTATAACAAAATACTGATGCACGTGCCACCCATGAATTTTAACATGGTTTTAAAAATCTTAACTAAATAGAGGATGTAACTGCCCCTCCTCTTATATCGTGATTATTTAAAAATGTTGAAGGTATAATGGTTGATCTGTAAACTAACTTTTTTAAGAAGTCCTTTTTTTGAAAAATCTTTTGGAAATGGAATAGAATTACTTCTTAAAACTTTTTTAAAATAAAATTATCAGAATTCCTGAAAAGGCAAAGAGTAATATTTTGGGGCAGCAGGGCCCTTCTAGGGAATGTCTTAATTGCTTTCTAGAAATTTTTCTTTCATTTTTGCTGCTATGCTTCAGTTGAAATGAAACAGAACATACCGCCTGACAACCACGAGTCCTACCATATGAATCATGAGGTTAATCGTT